CCTGCTGGGCTATGTTCTCTCTGCAGTCTTCAAGCTTAATGACCGGTACGTTCCTCTACTCCCCCATCCCCTCACTCTCTGTCACCAGAGGAACCAAGAGGTACAGCAGCTCTGATCTAAGGAGAATGATGCAAACGTGGGTTTCAACACAGATTTACTTTTGTAAAAGCACAGACTGATTGCAGTCTCCCAAAACGGGCCCTAGGAGTACAAGCAGACACACAACCAGTCCCAAGTCAATACTCCTACACCTTGAGTGGGGAGAGAAATGAGTTCAGGGTCTGCTTGGCTCAACGGAGAGCAGAGCAGCAGCTGGAGCAGTTTTTGACACAGGTACCTGATCACCGTGTCCATTATTTGCTGAAGAAGACTTGTTAGCTTTGCCTCGAGGTCACAGCGACCAGCCTGTGCTCCCAGTAACCAAGCTGGGGCATGGAGAGAATGAATAGCAAGGTACAACAGAGAATTAGGGAACACCAACAGAGCCCAAACCCGAAGCAACACAACTGTTCCTCAGCTCGTAATTACCCCAGACCAGTCAGTGCACTCAGCTGAAACCCCACGAATTCAGGATGGAAACCTTGCACATAAAACCCACCCGTTCCCTGTCTCGTCCTACCTAATCTACGTAGGAAGCCCACTACTCCTCACCGTGTTTTACCTTCACACCTTGGACTCCTCTTTTCACCCTGGAAGCAGATTCCTCCCCTGCAGGAAGCTGCAGAGTCCAGAGTGGGACACGAGGCCTCCAAACACCATTGGGCATGAAGTCCACATTTATAGCATGATCCGTCTCTGTCCATTGCAAAGTGAGCACAAGGCAAAACCCCCTAGGGATCCCAGTGCTGCTCCTGATCAAGCAGCTTGCAGCACAGGTAAAACAGCCGTAAACAACGCGACAGCCAAGGGGGGCCAGGCTTCTTCCGAGGCTGTTTAAAAGTGGATTAAATGTGTACTAATTGCCAGGGTTTAACACTTCCTCCTCCAGATGCAGGCGGACGGCGTGCATGGAAACTGGCTGCCAGAACGTTCAGCTCTGCTCCGCTATCCTCAAGGTCGCTTTCGCCCCAGAAATCATCGGCCCCCTCTATTTCTTCCCACTGCTCTACTTGCTGTTCCAGCTTGGAGAGGGACTTCTGCTCATCCTGCTCTTTAGGATCCACGACAGAATAAAGAAGCCAAACGGCAAGTACAGCTTTGCTCCTCGATTTCTTACACTTTCCAACCCAAACCATGTGCTCACAATATAATTACCAGTGAATTACTGCTTTCTAGTAGCAGGATCCAGTTGTCCTTTAACTCAAGGTTACATACCCAGCACATTAAACACAAATCCCAGCCAAAAATTCAGAACTGAAGACATTAGAAATCATGACTTCTTGCACCAGCAGAGTATTTCCTATAGCTATAGACGATCTACACTGCCAGTGCTCGAGGTTTTTCAGAGCTCTGTGCTTAAACCAGGATCGACATCCTGTGAAAGCTGGGACTTGCACTGAGCAAAGAGCAATCACACCCCCCTAAAACTACGAGAGAGTATTAGATAATTCTCTAACGTAATATTGCAATAACTCTTTAACAAATCCCAGCTTCGCTGCAGGGCGCTGAGATTCCCTGAAGGTTGTCACCTCTGGAGCAGGAGGGGGAAGGAAAGGACAGAACTGGCAAGTACTGCAGCTGAAGGAAGGAAAGGAACATCTGGATTATTGCTAGGAGGGGACATGAATAGACTCAAGATTAATTAAAAAATATATACAGTGTATTAGTAAGGCAGGCTCTTCTCCGATTTCAACAGGTCCATAATACCAAAGCCCAGCCAAGGATCTGGAAAGGTGCCTGGAGAATGCTCTGCTGGATGAGACCCCCCACCAGGGATGAGACCCCTCTGATGCCCCCAAACCAGCCTTCTCCAGCCCCTTGGGACAGAGCAGCAGCAGGGCTGCTACAGGAGCACTGTACCATATTTCATCGCTGTAGCAGCAGCACGGCTGTTAACAGGAAAATAAACCCCACTCTGTATCCTCGGGTGGCCTTCAGTGGGAAGTGGTCGACAGCAGACACTGCCACGAGTGCTGGCAAGGCTGCTGTGAAAAGGTTGGCTTTTCCGGGCTCCGATTCACGACGTGACTTGGGAACAAAAGGGCTTAAGTATTTTGACAGGACTTCCACATTCCTTCCTTTTCCTTTCAAGCACCCAGCAACACCCACTGCAGCTGCGTCACAACCCTTCCAAAAGCCGGGCTCAGAACTGCCTGTTCTCACTGCATTTTCCTTTCCCTTCGGATGTAGCAGAAACGACCCGTGCAGCTGTGGGTGACACAGTCACTGCTCAAGAGATGACATCAGCGTCAGGACCCTGCAGGAACAGTGGGAAACCAGGAAAACACCACAGGCAGGCACTACCATGAGCTCCACCTCCTGCCGCTGGCTCGCAGGGCTTCAGTTTCATCTGAGACTTCTCTACGTGCTCCTTTCATACCAGACACAGGGATCACCACAGAGCTGTCTGCACCCTCTCCCAAAGAGCTTGCTCCAGGCTAAGCCTGTCCCTGCCTGCCCATGAGGGGCACTTCCAGTGACGCTTGAATCATCACAACCCTTCAAGAGCTTGGGGTCAAGCGACTGCCCCGTTTTGCCCCTATGAAAAACCACTGCCCGCACCAGTTCCCTTTTTGAACTGCACCTACCTGCAGTTGTCCCACTGGCACACGCTGGAAGCAGCTCCTGAAGACATGGCTGAAGATTAAGGTCTTTAACACAACCCCAAAATGAGGTGCGAGAGTTTCTCAGGGCAGGAACCACCAGGACCCTGCGTGCAGCCGAGCAGCCCAAGGAGCAACTGCTGGCTGCTCCAGCTTTCCAAAACCCGAGCACCGTGCAGCACAGCACTGCTCCTCACGCTGTGGAGCCCACAGAAACACTTTACTCACCCCATGATGTTCTCTCCCCTGTGTGCACATACACACCAATGAAATATGCTTTTATGTGTCGTGCTTCTTATCCAAACGGGGACTAAAACCCAAGTGACCTGTCCGTTCCCCCGTCTCTACTTACTACCAAGGTTTCTATTCCAGAACGTGGCAGCATCTAAGGACAGGGTGTGATGTATTTAAAAGGAAGCTCTCCCCCACACCCTGAACTCTTTGCTGCAGACCCACCTTTAAGGAACATTTCAGCCCTGTTAACACCACGAGGCATGGTTACACTTTATTAACAATAAACCACACGAGAAGTAGAGACCCGTTTCTTTATGTTTTATTTGAGCTATTTAAGTATCAAGAATTAGGTGCTTTATAGAATATTACGACCACAGGGCGGTGAAATGGGCAGTTTCTTACTGTAGTGCAAGTCGTATTAAATCAAAAGCTTATTTTAAAATAAAGTTTTATTACCAGTACTGACCAGCGTTCAATGTGCTGACCTAGAACTGAGACAATGGTTCTAAAGCACAAAAAAATACCCTCTGAAATAAAGCTTTATGTACAGCACACGTCGAGCTCTTTGATGCCTAAAGCTATTTGCTTAATCTGAGATACTAAACTAATGCTCCGAGTTGCTATTCACAGTTGAATATACCAACACTCTAGGAATTAAGTGTTCAGATGATTTTGGGAGTACAAAAAAAAAAAAATTTAAAGTCTTCTGCTTTAGTTATAAAGAGCTCTGCCGATATACACAAACTATACACTTCAGACAGTCACAAAAATGTGAGCAATAAAAGGGTTATCAAAAAACATGTAATACAATTAGTCAATAACCCTTCCCGCCATGGTCCACATCTACAAAGTTGCTCCATCCCTCCCCCCCTCCCCATCCAAACCCTTCCCCGCAGAAAGTCACATACTTACCACAAGATTTAGCAAGTATGGTTTAAAAAAGGGCCCCCCAGGGCAAGTTACTCAAGAGTTCAGTTACCACTGTCAACAGATCTCGACCTCGATCTCGACCTCTGCCGGTCCTCGGAGGACGGGGATTTGGATCTGCTGGAAGAACCACGTTTCTGGCTCTTCTCTGGCATGGGCGATCTACTGACCGACCGGGACTTGCTGTGGCTCCTGCTCCTGGACCTGCTGTACGACTTGCGGCTGCGAGAACGGGACCGGCTACGAGACCGGGATGAGCTCCTGCTCCGGGACCGCGACCTGCTCCTGGACCTACTGGGGAAGGGAAGACCATCGCTGTCAGCAGGGGACCGTCCCGGGACAACAGCCAGGCAGTTCACGAGTCTGTGCTGACTTCAAAGCTTTAACGAATATTTAAGCATTACTTCGTACAACAGAAATCCTTACCTGTGCCTTTTGCTGCCTTCAATTAGTTTGATTTTCCTTCCATTAATCTCTTTACCAGAAAGCTTTTCAATAGCATTCTTTAAATCACTGTAAGAGGCGAATTCAACCACCCTACAGGAAAAAAATTACAAAAACCCAAGAGGTCACTATTACAAGTTGCACTTTTGATGCCAGAGCAAAACATGTGAGGGAAAATATAAGAAAAACAAAAGAAAACCAGCTCAAAAAACCCTTACACTGCTCAGTGTGGCCGTCCCTTGTCGTAACTCAAGCACAAACTGAAGAATTCCCCTCCCCAAATACCAGGGAATGCGTTTTCAAAGGGCAGCTAAATTAAACCACAAGCAGCTGCTGAGCACTGGAAGCAGCCAGCTTCCCTCCCCAAACACTACACGTACAAATATCACTCTACAGCTTTCACGAGGCGATTTTCGAGGCTTACCCTTCATTTAACTTAGGTCTGTGTGCATCTGCAAAGGTTACTTCCCCAGCTTGTCTCATGAAGTCTTTGAGATCCTAACACAAGACCAGTTATGTTATGCAAAGAAGTGAAATTAATACTTATCTATATAAAAAATAGCTTAAAATAAACAAAAGAAACTTATGACTACTGAAATAGAAGCTGTTAGATAAATTACAGGAGTGGCAACTGCCGTACTCGTATTCTATCAAATCTGAATTATTTCTATCAGGGCACGAAGTAAATGAAAAAAAAGCACATTGCTTTAAGCAAAATGCTGCTACAAGTGTCTTAACGTTAAGGGAATTACTAGTCTACAAAGATTATATAAATTAAGTAAGAGAAAGAGAGAGAAAGACAGAGAGAGAAATAAATAAGCACATTTGTACAGATTCTGGACTGAGTGTGAAATGCTACCCCTGGATTTCTGTACTACTTCAGCCTCCATTTACATTACGAGTCTTAAACGCATACAGAATTACATTTCCACGCCACCAATTATTTTGTGCCCCATATGCCATTAAAAATATAGTTTACTTTACCTTTATTAACATTTCCCTAGGCTAGCCAAGCAGCAAACTGCATTAAGCCACCGGAGATACCGTCATGATTTATGCCCGACTGGCTCTTCGCCACCCACTTGACGAACACTACCCAGTCGATGGAAGCCATTAATCGCACTGCCCTCCCTATCACGGATGGATCCAGACATCCTCTACGCTTGATGTTACCAAGGACCACTTTACTGCGATCAGGATTCCAACGACCACCTAATTTCGTATCTTTCAACTCTTTTCGACCAGGACCTCTTTATTCGGAAGCGTTACAGGAAGGACAGCTCTCAACTTAGGAATCAGATCTCGTTAACGCTCTGGGATCGCTGCAATGTGGCACTTTAAGGAGTGCATCGATTACGTCTAGACCGGCAAACACAGATCTAGAGGTGGCCAAGTGACATTGTAGGAGCTGACTGGGAAGTCAACCAGGCCCAACCAAGAGTGACCAAGACAGAACGATTAGGATAACCCACAGGCACTCCTCGTCATATGGCCAACGACACAGATAGGCTGGCAAATAAAGGGTTTAATATGTGGTTAAAATGGATTTTTAAAACAAGAAAAAAAATAAATATATATCCTCAAATATACACATTTAATATTATTATTAATTAAAATTAACTAGTTTCCATTAAAAATATTCAAATGACATTATTTAACGTTACATTAATTACGTAAACATTTTTAATAAGTTAGATTTAACTTTAATGAATTATCTTACAAAATAATTACATTACATACCCCTTACATGAAGTCAAAAGAGTTAACTGTGTTTGAACAAACCTGCCAGCTGACTCGGGAAGACAAATTTTCTACTATGAGCCGATTTTCTGTTCTTACGGGTGGGGCATTTCTGTTTGGAAATAAACAACCCAGACCTTTTATTGGTAATTAAAACATAACCCCAGGTTAATATTAATAAAGGCTGTACCAGTAACTGCTGTCAGTATACCACCACTGCTACAACTCAACCGTGGAATGCCTCGAGTAACGTAGGAGAAGCATTAAGCACTTCAAAGGGGAGCATAAAGATGACAAGCATACCCGAGAAGTTTTATAATCCTTACTATCCTATCGCCACATCGAGTGATTGACTAGAAAGGCAACTCATGCCAGCTCGAGTTCTCCGATCAGATGAGGCCACAGTACTCTGTTTTAAAACATCACCCCAAAGCCATACGTACCTCCTGTCACTACGTGGACGGCGGCTACTAAACCGGTCAGAGTACCTCCCTCTGCCTCTACCCCTAGAGCGTGCCCTTGCATGCTCAATTGTAACCCTGGGGAAAGAGACAAAAAGGAAAGCCATATATTTTCACATTTTTCTTCTTATATATATTCTTTCACAGTTACAATTGTTGGAAAAACAAAAACCTCAAGCACAAAATAGCTTAAACAGTACTGGTAACACAATGCAAAATCGACTCACTTCTTATTTTAGAGATTCAAGCTTATCTATTCATTTAATAGGGTATCTCACCTCTCACTGCAAAGCTCTTTTCCATCCAATTCATAGACAGCATCATCTGCATCCCTTGGATCCTCGAATTCCTGCAAAACCACCCGAGCAAAAACATAAAAATAAAAAAATACACCCCTAAGAAATTAAAAAATGCTCACATGCCACACAGCATACTTAGCAGAGCACCGTGATAGCACTATCTTTAAAAGCAGCTTCGTGTACGTAAACGCACATGGGATCCAAGTGACCGGCAACGGACAAGGACCGCAGTGCCCTGCGGAGGAGCACACTCACCACAAAGCCAAAGCCCCTCTTCAGATCGATGTCTCGGATGCGGCCGTATCCCTTGAAGAACCTCTCCACATCCTTCTCCCT